GTTTGTAAATACCTTACTGTAAATAGTTTTATAAGGAAAACTTTATAATTGTAATAATGTACGTTTGTACCATGACTTAGCTATGCAATATGTATTGTCAATTTTAGCTAAATAAAATGATTTGATTTCATTTGATTTGATTTGATTGTATATTCTGGGAACTTGCCCTAACACAAACAACCTCAGGTTAGGAAATGTAAATGTAACATTAACGAAAATGAATAAAAAATTCAAGTTAATTATCTTGTGATATTGGCATGGTGGTTGATGTGAAAAATAACCGATCAAACCGTATTTCTAAGTAGAATTGGAATTTAAATTCTAAATTTAACTTGTGATGAGTTATCGGTGCGCATGCAATCACATGTTGGACTGCTGCCCGTTGGAAAACTACTTAGTGTTAGTGCTAGTGTATTTCCGGCAACAGATGCAACTGGGTGCTGATGTACTGATGCAGAATACAGCTTGGGTGTGTCACTGTCACATCGTGATGGCCGTAGCCTACCTCACGACACCTTGCGTTATGTGATGTAACTACGTATTGATGCAACTGGGTGCTGATGTACTGATGCAGAATACAGCTTGGGTGTGTCACTGTCACATCGTGATGGCCGTAGCCTACCTCACGACACCTTGCGTTATGTGATGTAACTACGTATTGATGCAACTGGGTGCTGATGTACTGATGCAGAATACAGCTTGGGTGTGTCACTGTCACATCGTGATGGCCGTAGCCTACCTCACGACACCTTGCGTTATGTGATGTAACTACGTATTGATGCAACTGGGTGCTGATGTACTGATGCAGAATACAGCTTGGGTGTGTCACTGTCACATCGTGATGGTCGTAGCCTACCTCACTACACCTTGCGTTATGTGATGTAACTACGTATTGATGCAACTGGGTGCTGATGTACTGATGCAGAATACAGCTTGGGTGTGTCACTGTCACATCGTGATGGCCGTAGCCTACCTCACTACACCTTGCGTTATGTGATGTAACTACGTATTGATGCAACTGGGTGCTGATGTACTGATGCAGAATACAGCTTGGGTGTGTCACTGTCACATCGTGATGGCCGTAGCCTACCTCACGACACCTTGCGTTATGTGATGTAACTACGTATTGATGCAACTGGGTGCTGATGTACTGATGCAGAATACAGCTTGGGTGTGTCACTGTCACATCGTGATGGCCGTAGCCTACCTCACTACACCTTGCGTTATGTGATGTAACTACGTATTGATGCAACTGGGTGCTGATGTACTGATGCAGAATACAGCTTGGGTGTGTCACTGTCACATCGTGATGGCCGTAGCCTACCTCACGACACCTTGCGTTATGTGATGTAACTACGTATTGATGCAACTGGGTGCTGATGTACTGATGCAGAATACAGCTTGGGTGTGTCACTGTCACATCGTGATGGTCGTAGCCTACCTCACTACACCTTGCGTTATGTGATGTAACTACGTATTGATGCAACTGGGTGCTGATGTACTGATGCAGAATACAGCTTGGGTGTGTCACTGTCACATCGTGATGGTCGTAGCCTACCTCACGACACCTTGCGTTATGTGATGTAACTACGTATTGATGCAACTGGGTGCTGATGTACTGATGCAGAATACAGCTTGGGTGTGTCACTGTCACATCGTGATGGTCGTAGCCTACCTCACTACACCTTGCGTTGTGACATGTGATGTAACTAAGTCTACTACACCTGTTCAAGGTCTCCTACCACTATGCACCTTGCGTCGATATATGCGAAATCATTCTTCCCATTGATATTTTATTCTTGAAGTATTTCCAAATCTTTTAACCACGGTGTGTAAAAAAACTTGTTTCTCTGCATTCCGTGCTACATTGCTTGCATATGATGATCAATTAGTTGTATTACATTCCTGGCTCTGAGTATCACTATTTGACCACGTGATCTGGGATCCTTGTAAGTGCATTAGCGCCGTTGTGCAACCTGTAAACTGTAAACGCCAGCTTAGTGGCTGTCACGTTAGTATACTCGGGCGTTTCCGCTGGTCATCTGAGTAAAAATTGTCAAATATAATGCACAGCAGAGACTGTCGTGTAAGTCCTTTATTGAGCCAAATTACCAAAACTTTGAATTATCTACGTCTAACTAACTATCAAAGTATTTACATGAACTAAAAAAAAAACATCAATCAATGACATTAAAACTATAAGCAACTACTGTACTAAGCTGTACTGTTGCTAATTTCACCAAGCAACTGTAGGCCTATTCACAATACCAGATCGAAGACAAATAATACACGAAAAATACAGAAGGTTTTATTCAGTTTTATCGCATAAACTGCTTATGTCCATAAATTAAGATAGGCCTATAGGATAGTTGAACAAATCTTCTTGTTCTTATTCATTCCTTACATTTTTATGGTATGTGTATTGTGTATTTCCCACCATGGGCTTTTTCTTGTTAAATGTTTTACCTAACCTTGGTAGAGTTCAGCCAAATTCATAGTTTCAAACTTAAAAATACCATTTTGTTTGTCAAGTACAAAATGGACATACTCTGTACGATATACATCATGGCTTTTCTGTAAGGCCCTCGAGGGGGATTTTATCATAACTACAGATTGCGTTGTCCTATGTACATGTCCCGGTGCAGCTATTGTTTTATTTTTGAAAATTTTGAGTTTTATAAATTCAATCGCTTCAAACATATTGCCATAAACACTTCAGTTATTTTTATTTTTTAATAGGAATAGATGTTAGTTCAATCATAAATGTTTGGTCATAAATTTTAATTAATGTTGTAAAGTTAAATTAAATACAATTATTTGCAAATTGGTGTTATTCTTATCTCCTTAAAAAATTTGTCAGGTTAGGAAGTGTTAAGGAGACCAATATTTGGTCTTTTCTGCTTCAGTTGCAGTAAAATCAAATGGAAATGGAAACAAAAACATTAAAGTTTTGTCAGGAAATGGTGGTTTTCACAAGCAGTATTACAAATTAAAATACACCTGAGCTTTTCTTGGCCTCAGAGGATAGGAAAAAACATATTTAATAACAACTAACGATCCATTTACTACATCAGGGTTGTTTTTTTTTTTTTTTTAATCTGCAAATGAAAAAGCCTTTGGAAATTACCTAACCCCCTTTTGTTGTTTTTCTTTTTGCAACTTGATCGAAACTGATTTGTAACTTAGTACACAACTAGATTAAACCTATTAACTTCTGGAACTTGGTAATAGCGCTCAATTACTGCTAGGAACTTGCAAATTAGTTGTTGCATCTACATAACAACTTAGTCATTGATTGTGAAACCATCACTTAATGACGTAGGTTCTCCTGCTTCTGGAAAAATCCTCAACAATCACACTATATAGCAAATATGTTATTACTTTACTGTTGGTGTTTACACACATTCCTTGTTGGTTGCAGGTTTTTATTGTGGCAATAGAATCTTTAGTATGCAATATTTGTGTAAGCATATATTATTTAAAAATATACAGGGTGTTCAAAAAAGGTGGGGATATATTTTACCTAGTACATTTCCTTGGGTCAAAATAAAGAGAAAATCAAGAATAACATTTTTCCCAAAATCGCTTTGTTAATTAGATATCCGCCATTTTGTATTTTTTTAACATTTTTATTTTTGAATTTTTCAACCGATCTTTATAAAACTTGGTATTTAGGTTAAGGTAAAAAAGAACAATGATAGAAAAAAATTATCTTGATTCAACTTAAAATTTCAAAATGGCGGCCAGTTTAATTTTTTAACTAAAATTACTCAAAAACGGCTAATGTTATAAAAAAATTTCAAGAAAACTTTTATTTGGCATTTTTAATTCCCTATCAAACGATACCAAGTTCAAAAATATCGAATGAAAATAGCTGAAATATTACGATTTTTTTTTTGTAAAATGGGGTAGAATAAGGCAGAAGCTAGTCAGGTTTGCCCCATTTTACAACAAAAAATCGTAATATTTCAGCTATTTTTTTTTCAATATTTTTGAACTTGGTATCGTTTGATAAGTAATTAAAAATGCTAAATAAAAGTGTTACAAATTTTAAATTGCCGCCACTTTGAAATTTTAAGTTGAATCGAGATGAAATGTTTTTATGACACGGGTCTCGTCTACCTTAACATGCATACAAAGTTTCATAAAGATCGGTTGAAAATATTAAAAGATAAAAATGTTTATGTAAAAAATAAAAAAATTACGAATATCTGGTTAGCGAAGCGATTTTGGAAAAATGTTATTCTTGATTTTCTCTTTATTTTGACCCAAGGAAATGTCCCCACCTTTTTTGAACACCCTGTATATGTATTTTCTTGGATAACTAAAACTTAATTTACATACGTCATGTGTTATCAGTGGAATTAATATGGATATCGCCCCTTATTGGAAATAACTAAGCTTAATCTTTTTTACACAAATTATAATTGAAAATGTCCACGATCCTTAATAATCATGAATAAATTATTAAAAATAAACTTCAGACAATGTTAGCAAATGAAAGCTTCTACTGTTATGTGTGCCTTTCCTGGATAAGACAAAAACCCACACTTAGGTTAATTTATTTTTTATTTGTATTCCTCCATTGTTTTAGTATACAAGTTTTAATTATAATGTATGCTCGATCTTGGTCTTACTAAAAATAATCCTAATTCAGTGTACATTGAAAAAAAAATTTAAATAGAAAAATATACTAAATTGTGTTGTAAACTTACTCAAATCTCATCATTATCTCTGTTTTAAGACGATTTTTTCAATAACACTCCAACGACAACAAAATAAAAATCCCCACCTGGTTCAAAATAGTTATTGGCCCTTTCTATTATGAGCCTGGTAACTTGTTAATCCTCAAACATTTCCACTTTTACCGCCTTGGTCATAAAGTCTGCAATATAAACTTGTTTATACAAGCTATTCTAAGTGATTTCTAAAACGTTACATATTAGCCTAAGTTTTTTTTTTACTTTTGTTTACATTTTTGACCGATGCTTTGTTTCCAGGAGATGGACGGCATGCTCATGATTGTCAATGGAGCCGGTCGAATCATCTTCATATCCCACACTGTGGAAAAACTGCTTGGTCACACACAGGTTAGTATCCCTTAATATGTAATAGAATATTTCTTGGGAGCCAGTGGGGCGGAGCCTAGGGTTCTCAATCCTGGGGCTTCAATCCAATCCTGGGATTTTGTGATTTATCTAAGTCGATCTTGGGCTTATGTTATTTTGACTTAACTTTTTAGTAATTTTCAATTTGTGTGGAGTCCTCTTGTTGAGTCCTCAAATGTTTTAAACTGGCCGTAACAATACGCAGTTTTGCCGTCTTTCTAAGTTAAGAAACATTTTCACCCAGAACCTTCGTAGGCCTAATCCTGCTTTCTTATTTACAGTGTATAAATGAGTGCAGGGCCGAGTGCCAGTATCCAAAGGCAATGGTATATTTGGTTTACATAAATAAAATGCCTATTAGCTAATTTCTAATATCCAAAGTCAATGGTGTAATTGATTCACATAAAGGGAACGCCTATTTGCCATTTCCAAAGTCAATGGTACATCTGGTTCACGTCAATGTGATGTCTACTTGTAGTATCCAAAGTCAATGGTTTATTAGCCTAATTCCGCTGACCCTAATTAGTTATTAATTTTGTAGTAAATTATTCTCAACAAAATTAAATAATCCAATTGTTCTGAACCTTTGTTCTGTATTTGTAATGTGCCAGTTTAGATGATGCATTGACTAATATATGTTAGGACTCTTTTGTTTAGACCTTTTTATTGTTATCTTGCAAATAATGACGATTTGTGGCGACCAAAAAACCTCTAAGGCCCATGTTAAATTTCTGTATTTTTAAATTCACCTAGAGAAAAGCCTTTTAGTCGATGTGTACCATTTCATATTACCTCCCCATAGTTGGTTACTATGACTGTGCTAAATTTCCTTCGGATTGCTTCAGCTGTTTAGGAGGAGTATGTGGAAAACAAGTACAGGAGTGTAGTATAAGAGCTTCCCTCACTTTGTTCGCTCCACTCAAATACTTGTTTTAAGCGTTGTTAGACTATTTATATTTACTTTCCATAAGTAAAACTACTAAAATGAAAAAGAAGATAAAAATAGAAGTTTTGCAATCCCGTTAATCGCAGGATTAAAATACGGTAATCACAGGATTCCTAGGTATCAAAACGTGACCGGGGCTCGGGATCCCAGGAAAAAGACTCTTAGGTGGAACTCTAGGCGAGTATCAAAGTTAAGTTTTGTCAATCTGGGGTATATTGGCTGTTTTCCTGCAAAAATGTCAGCTCAATCGCTAGTTTTAACGTGAATCTCAATGTGACATACTCACAACTTTTACATTTATTTATTCTTCCATTTTGGCTGCAATCGTCAAGAAAGTAATGAGATTATATTATAAAATAACTAGGTTATTTTAGAATATCTGTGGAGAACATAACTGGGCTGGGAATGTGCAAAAGGTATTAAGTGTGGGAGGTGGGGGTAAGTGGTATATTCCCTCTCTGTCCTTAGTTACCAAGTACAGAGACTATAACTTACAAGCAAGAGATATATTCTGAGAATCGCTCATATACAAGTTAACATTTAATCCTGGAGTATTCGATAGATTGTTCCTAGGAATCTGGCAAGGGTATTAAATACTTACTGCTAGTTTTGTGGAGAAAAAAAATAGTCAAAAAATGTATATAGTTTTAGTCTTATATGTATTAATGTAACTGATTTATTCCTGTCATAAATGTAAATTAATTTAATTGTTTATAAATTGGCTTGTATAAATAATAAAAAATTTAGGGTTTTTTATGAAAAAGTACTGAAATCAATAGTCATTTATTATTTCATAGTGATTAAAAGAGTTTTGAATGCTCTAAATATTTACACACATTGTTATGTTACGTTACTGTGTTAAGTGAGGCAACCTGAAGTTATATAACAGAAAATCGTTGAGTTGTTTGCCTTGAATGCATGAAGCAAGAGAAATTACGTATAAGTTATACATATCAGATTCTCTTGAAATCACAACATAGTAATAACAAGTTAGTAGTATTGTGCTATGTAATTGTGTTTTTTAGCGTAATAAGTTGTAACGTAACCATAACCATCCAAGTTCCATATCACAAGAAGTTTGAAATCATTTATACACATCTTATCACAAGATATAATCACTGGTTGTATAATAATAATGGTGTAGCTTCCGTGTTCTTGTTAAACATCCCTTTGAGTTCTTAGGGTAATAATTTAGTTTTCAAAACCACCAAATTTTGTTTTTTTAAATTAGTTTTGAAATATCAACTTAGAAAATGTTTTATTAATTGATAAATATTAAACTAAAATATCCCCACCGCAGCAAACATGCCGAAAGATCTTTATAATGGCTTAGAGAGAAACTGGGAAATTTTGTGTTTTGAAGGTCAAAAATGAGGAAAACCAACTTTTACCCCATAATGAATACGTGAAACCCCGTTCCCATGGTCTAATCATTCTGGTTCGTTAACTCATTCAAGATTAAAAAAACCAAATCAGTATAAATCTAGTATTAATAACGTAATTTAGTATTGGTATGAAAATATATATAAAAAAATTCCAAATACAAATGCATAAAAAATGGTTAAATGGTTAATGGAAAAACAATGTGTTTTATTATTATTTTATCAATTGAGATGAGAACGCCACCTGACCTAGGTGTGTATTTGAACTTAAATATGAGGGAAGGATGAGTGTAGAATGGCGTGAGATGATCTGTGTAGCTTTATTACTGACTAAGATCAGCTGTTTCATCAGTCATGATCATTTATTTAAAGCCCAATGATCAGGAACAGCTGGGACCAGTTTCAACCTTCAACAAGCCACTGACTTAGGATCAAACCGGCGAACCTTTTAACTGTTAAGCTTAACATGATTTTTCCATCAAAAATTAAATAATCCACTTCATTAACAGGCAAAGTGAGCACTTTAACTACTCAATAATAGGAGTTTGTACATACTTCTATTATTTGGCTATTAACTTGACACTGACATGATTATAAGAGTTTTCGAATGTAACCTGTTCACCAAAATTGAAACTGTGGTTTCATTATTTTCCATTCACTAAATTTAGGTGATTTGAGGTGAAGTTCCCCCACTACATTTTGTTGCTTAATAAACTACTCCCTTTACTTGGAAGACTTAGAAATACCAAGTGAGTATAAGTTGTAAGTCGTCATTTAACTAGGAGTGATTAGATTGTCTATGTCAGTGAGATAAAGTAACAATGATCTTGTAGTGATGGTCAGCCAGTTAAGTGTCATCTGCCAACTGCCAAGTGACGCCAAGGTGTCAAGTGACGATTGATCCGTTTGCCAACGGCATGTCCTATGTATTTGGCGGGACAGTAGTGCAGTTAGCTTTTTAATTTGTTACAGTTCGCTTTCTAAGGTAGGGTTTTGTGCATTATTACAAATCTGGTCTTGGGTAACTTCCTTGCTAACCAAACACTGGATAAAATGAACGTACCGATTCGTGCTTGTATAAAACATCTGAGTAAAAGAGCGATTGTTGGTTTGTGATTGAGTGAAACGATAGGAGAATTATTCTAGCGATAATTAAGTGACACAGTATAAGCGTATTGTAGTGATCAGTGGTCGTGTAGCCCAATAAGAGAATACTCTGGTAATCAATGAACCAGTTAGTCAGTAAATTGTATTCTAGTGTCTCAGTGTAAGAGTATAAAGTAATTAGTGATCGAGCTACACAGTAAAATGGTACTTTATTGATTGAGTGACCCAATAAGTGTATTACAGTGATTGACTAACACTGTAAAATAATATTCAAGTATTCAAGTAAAACAGTAAAAGGGTATTATAGTGATCAGTTATTTAAACACTCAGTATAAGAATACTTGAGTGATCGAGTGACCCAATAAGAGTGTTGTAGTCATCAGTAGTTTATAGGACGTGTTGGTAGTGTCAGATGTTCAATATCAGTCTCCATGACGACAGTTAAACTAGCTCACCAAGCACTGCAACACAATCTGCTGCAACTGCAACCTGATGCCTCTCTTCTATGTACTCTCCGCTATTTGTATCCTGTAATATCTTTTCTTCTTGGAAACCATACAATTTTCCATACGGTTTTTTTTACTTTTGTACAGGAGTAGGAAACCACTTTAAATGTAAAGTGCCTTAAAATTATTCCTATGTAGAAAGCATGTTATGAAAGTTAGGAGGGAACACTATTCCACATCATAAGATACTATTCCACAACACTAAAATTATTTTTTTTATTTTGCCCTAATTGAAAGAAGTGTACAAATTAGTATGTATTTGATTTCTTTTAATTTTTCTCTGTTGATTATTTAATAACTGATATCCATTTTGATTTAGATAAAGAGTGTTATTGTTTTTATTCATATATATATGTACTCTTTTCATTAATAAGTGATCTTACAAAGATCTTCTCTAGTATCCTTACATCTTCACCAGCGTTACATTCAGTTGGTCACAGGAGAACACAGTTTTTTTTTTTTTTTTTAACATATTACATTTTTTATAATGGTGGTTATTTATATTTACCAATTTCAATCACATCAATCAGACAACTTTAACTTTAAATATTTACTGTATATGCTTAAATGGAGCAACATCAATAAGTTTTAATGTCAAAGGAGATAAAACCCTCAATGTTCAGTAAATGCCAGTGCAAAAATTCTGATCGTTTTACATTTAAAGCAACGTAAATTAAGTCAATCAAATCGAATTGTAAAGAGCTCACAAGTTGTCCAAGTTAAAACAAAATATACAAAAGAAGATAGTTGATTATAGAGATAGTTGAATACTTTACCTACAAGTGTCATATTATATCAAGGGTGTAATTTAAAAATTAGAGATAAAAAATAATTGTCCAGTATTTCCACAAAGTTGATAAATGCTTAATTAAAAAATATTTTACAATCAAATACAAACAGAAGAACTGTTTAGTGCCGTCTTTTCCATCAGTTAATGTCCATCACAAAAGTTATGTCTTGATTGCAGTGTTTTTATTCAAGTTTAAGTAACTGAATTCATTGTAAAATAGTTAATGAATCATCCTAGGCCAGGGTATTATTGCATTACAGTATTTGCAGTAGAGTTATTTCTGTCCACTCATGGCGATGATCGACCTACACATGAGTATGTTTGTAACAAATTATCCTAGTTCTGGACGGGAATACTTCATTCATTGTAACAATTTCCCGAATCAAGTGGTTGGGTTTATTATCCCTTGTTAGTTATGACTATTCCAAATCCACCCACGTTGTTGGATAACGCTTGATTATAGCCATGTTTATTACATTTGAGTTGTAATATATACTGTATTGCAAATATTCATATACAAACACTGTGGCAGTAATGTTTTTATTTAATGGTAGTTTTCTACTTCTAACTGGAAAATTGTAGTGAAGTTGGAACTTAAGTGTTATTATTAGTATTGGCTATTGGTGGAATAAGACATCCCAACACCCATGTACAGGCTGTATACAAAATATAAAATACCCCCGCAGCAGCAAACCTGCAGACTAAGCGAATTTCCATTTGCCTGATTTGATTTTCAATTAAATCTATTCAAATAACATTAGGTTTAACGAGTACCTAGGTTTGCTGCCTACAGGGTAATAAAGTGTGTTTTTCAGTAAAATATTAACAGCTTAGTATAAAATAAATCGATTGGCCAAGTTTGATCCAAATATATGCATAAACAAGCAAACTACAAAAGTTTACTTATTCTCCATAAGAATAACATGGGAATTTTTAATTTATAATTTTCTCCGTAACCAATAACCATACAAAAACACTTCAATATACTGAATTATTTGTTTTTTTAAGCTCTTCAAAATGGTCTAGAAGAAATTTGGGAAATTTTATGTTTTGAGGGTCAAAAATGAGAAAAACCAATTTTTACCCCATAAATCCCCCCATAAAACCCCGTTCCCATGGTCCGATCATGCTGGCTCGCGAACTCGTTCGAATAAACGTAGGTTTACATGTTTGTACCAAATTTTATCGAAATCGGATCATTTTTGCTCGAGTTATCGTGCTGACGGACACATATATATATATATATATAAATATATAAATATATATATATATGAAAAATAGAAAAATAGGGCTACTATATATATATATGAATTTGAACGGATGGTGTTTTTGGCTTCTAGGAACATCAAAATGAAAAAGTAAATCGGTCCCGGGACTAAGTCTTACCATGAGACCTACGGTAATAGCTTATTCCCTATAGGGAAATTCGCTAAAAAAGAGTACAGTATTTGAATAGACTCACCAACATGGTGCCGTTATCATTATTGATTGAGATGGGGACATCACCTACTAGTAGTTGTGTATTTTAACCCAAATATGAGTGAAGGATGAGTGTAGAATGAAGTTAGATGATCTGTGTAGCTTTATTACTGGCTAATATCAGCTGGTTCATTAGTCAGGATCATTTAATTAAAGCTCAATGATCAGGGACAGCTGGGTACAGTTTCGAAGCATTAAAAAGCAACTGTATTTTCTCAGGATCGATCCGGCAAGCTTTAGATTGTTAGGCGAGCACTATAGCCAGCTACCCAGCCCAAGCAACATGAATTAATTTACAGTATTGCTTTTACTGAAACTGAAATTAAAGTGTTACCATACATTTTGATAGAAACTAATACCATTCACATCATAATATAGAGGCATTAATAATTCCCTTTCAAATAAATGAGGAGTTTTTAAATAGGTACCATTGAAAAAGTTTGCCTAAGTTCTCTTTAAAGAGAAAATAATACAAAAACTATAGAGTCGAGTCTAATTGAGGTGAAAGAATATCTGTAAATGCGTATTAAGACTGTGGCCCCAATGACATCTAAGTGTTAATGATCGTAAAGGAAATTGCAAGGCTTTTATTGCTCTCTGAATTAATTGGTGGCCTACATTTTATAATGATGTAGAATTGCTCAGACTCTGAAAGGCACCTATCAAGCAAACAGCTTTTCGGAATCTTTGATGTTGTCATGCAGACATGTTGATTTTATTAAACATTGTAATATGATTTATAATTGTGCCTAGTAAATTTGAGACTTTTTTTGTTGTAAATATTTATATAGCCTAATTTATGTTTGTCTTTTGTATTTGGGCAATCGATTTTTTATATATAATTTTTTTTACTTTAAAAAAGAGTTTAATATTAAGATAGCAATACAACTACTGGGTATTTTATCGTGTTTTTTTTTTAATTTAGTGAAATCCCTGAGATAACTTAGTAACTGACCAAGACCAGCTGTTTTGTAGCTGAGCAACGATCAAGGACAGCTGGTTCCAGTTCAGAACCATCAAAAAAGCTCTATACTGTTCACAAGGAATGAACCAGTGACCAGTCAAACCCCATTAGTCCATTACCAATCAGGCACTAAGCTGTACAGCTCTACATAATGTCTGTTATTATTAGTATGGTTTTAGTATTGGGAATCCTCCAATACAGAGAAATTTTTGCCGTAAAAGAAAAAAAATCCTTAATATCTGTCTACATAAGTTAACTTATGTTTAAAAACTAAAACCACATGTTCATAGTGTTATCACATACATCAAGTCGTTAGTGATGGCAGGATTTGAACCCAGGTCACTAAATCAAAATGCTTTAGACCTAATTCAAAATCAAGCTCGGTTCTATGTAGTTGAGGAATACATTTACTGGACTGAGTTGGCCAAAATTCTTAAAATGCTATCTCGGCTTTTATGCGCCAATTAAAATCCAAAAGAAAGTTTGGAATACTAATTCAGACCATGTAAGGAGCGAATAAATCTGTGCGTCAGAAACCAACCTGTTTGAGTGTTTGTCTCAATCAAAGTGGTCCCCTGCTGAGCCAAGCATATCTACAATCAGCACACGTGGGTATCAGCTGCTGAAAATACCCCTGGTACAACCTTCTGTACCACTCAATTAGGTAGAGTCATCGGGGTATATAGGTAAACTTCTAAGATACGCTATTGATGTTTTTTTTTTTTATTAAGTTTATATTTGAGCAATTCTTTTTCCCTTCTTGATTCATTATAGCACCTGTTGCAGAAACTGTCACAATCTTGTATATCGATAAGAAAAAGTTGTCTCTTGTCTGTAAAACGTTAAAATGATGTATGTTCTTTTTATGATGTTTGTGTGTAGCAATTGGCCATATTTCCAAACTTACCTATACTAATCAAATGCATCTATACCAACTGTCCAAAACTTAGTTTCAGTATTATTTTGTAATGTAATACTAGTAAGTCAAAGTCAAAAGTCAGCTAATAATTATTTTGTTTTAGCTAATCATAAAATTGCTATGATACTGAGTAGCTTGGATACGTTACTGTCTATTTACTGATGGAGACACTTTTAAAGCCTGAAAAGAAATTAGAAACTAAAGAATATAAGGAAATAAAGTTAAAGCCTTTAAAAAACCTGTACAACCAAAGTCAATTGTTGTCCTGTAAAATGATTGGAACGTGGAAGATGGATTTAGGAATACTTAAGAACCTTGTGGCTTGGAAATGAGAGGCAATGAGCAGAGAACATGGTAGAATATAGACAGATTGTTGCAGAGAAAGATTCATTTTGGGCCATATAGCCACATGGCTGGGTAGCTGAGTGGTTATAGTGCTTGCCTGTTAATCATATGGTTCCCAGTTCAATCCTGAGAAGAGTCAGAAGCGTTCTAAACTGGACCCAGCTGTCTTTGATCATTGTGCAAAAACCAATGAAAATCAATGGTCCTGTCTAAAAACCAGCTGATCTTAGCCATTAAAAAAGTCATATCATCCATTCAACTATAATCTTTCACTCATCATCGCCTGAAAATACACACCATTGTATGTTGGGACGTACTGTACTGATCTAACCATAAATGGCAAGGTTATGTGCTGAAAGTGTAAGACTAAATTTGTTTCAGTGATTGTATTTTCTGTTTTTTTGTTACAGATTGAGTTAATGGGCCAGTCGCTGTTCAATTTGACTTGTCTGGAAGATTACGACGAGTTGAAACGCAACCTCGCTCCAGACGAAGATCAAGCCATCAGTGCTGCTACCAGTGGTGAGTGAAATGTAACTAAGTGCTTCGGCTTATTACTCCCAGTGGGGATAGCTCTTCCCATATAAAACAGACTGACTGGGTTGTTTATTTACCGGTGGAAACTAATAGTGATATGGTAAAAACTAATGTAACAGGTACCACGATGTAATACAATTGTAATTTTTGTTGTTGTTTGTATTTAACAATAATGCCAATTAGGTAAAAATCTATTTGGAATAGATTTTGTTACAAAGTGAAGTTTGTTTGCAAATAACACTGTAGATCCTAGTCTTCTTAATATGCAAAATTAAAATACTTAGGCCAAAGATATTTTAAATTCACAGGTTGCAATGAAATAAGAAAGTGTCAAAAATAAGATTGCATGTAAAACTAAATTTGCCAAGTATAAAAGATGTATTTTCCTTAAGAGGTGTATTAAACTGTGAATAAATTGTAAATGTTGCAAGTTTATGAAATATCAACAACTGGAACATCTTGTCAAAACCAGTGCTTGTTTTCTTGGAATATCAATTTAGAAGCTTGACTCTACTAGACAAGTTACAGCTCTATTAACTCAGTTATGTAGAGAATTTTTATTATTAAATTTACCCCCTTTACAGTTTACTGCACATGTTACAATGCAGTTTTACAAACACCCGTGAGCTACTTAATTGAAAATTATAATTGCTGGATTTTGTTTTTTATATATTTTTTGTTTGAACTATTTTTAAGTTTTAAAATTTCTGTTACACATTTTGAGTTGAAAACAATGTGTTGGTGAAAGATTTTTGTGTTTTCAGTCTTGCCAAAATTTTTAGGAATTTTTTTCTTTAAACAATCAAAGTTTAAAATACCCCGCCGCAACAAACCTGCAGACTAAGCGCATTCTTTTTTGCCTGATTTGGTTTTTAATCTATATATATAATTCTGTAAGACCAAATAGTTTTCACCAATAGTGTCTAGTCTATATTTACCAAATATAGTCTGTAGACAGGTCTTCCCCTTCCCTGTCTAGTTACTTCACTCATTATAAAACGTAAAAAAATAAACACAATTCATTTTAAACATTATTTACCAACATTGACTTTCGGAATAAATGTAAACATTGCAAATAAATAAGTAACAGCTGATAGAATGCAGACGTTTTTCAGTCCCCATGCATTTCTTATGGTGGATATTTTACGTTATATCTCGTTTTCTGGTAACTTTATGGGAATTCTGCTATTTTTCCCGAGTCCCTGGGGTCAAGACCTTTAATTTAAGACCCCTCCCACTTTTCTGCGACTTACCAGACGTCCACAATTTTCTGGTAAATTAAATCTATTTTAATTAAATCTATTTCAATAACATTAGGTTTAACAAGTACCGAGGTCTGTTGTAAACTGCAACAGTTTACTTATTCTCCATAAGAATAGCATAAAAATTTAAATTTTTTTAAACTTTCTATGTAAGGAATAATCCTAGAAAAACACTTAAATATACTAAATTATTTGTTTTTTAAGCTCTTTAAAATTCTTTAGAGAGAACTATTAAATTTTATGTTAAGAGGGTCCAAAATTAGAAAATCCAATTCTTACCCCATAAACCCCGTTCCCATGGTATGATCAGGCTGGATTCGCCAACTCGTTTGCTAAAAGACACAAAATTATGCTTTTCACCTGGAAGGAGTAAGAAGTAAAACTCTGAATAATCAACACAGACAAAGTAGCTTAATGCCTGATCAGATTTGCATCTATAAATCAACCTCTCCAGTTTACCTCCCTGTAGCTGATCACCATTTTAGGTGGTCCTGTCTCCTGTCTCATTACCTTCGCCACAGTGAGTTGCCCACCACAGCTGACAAACCCTTAACTCAAAATGCTGTCTCGTTTGGTCAGATTAATTAGGTTAGATTATCTACTACCCGTAAGCAGGTTGCACAAGCAAATCAGTCCTAATTTTGTTCCTTGTAATGTCTGCCGTAAATTGCCACCTATGTTTAAGGCGAGGTTTCAACCTTTTTTTATTCAGTTATGTTGTTTAACGTCTTTAAAGGTAATTATTTAATTAGCCCATCTTATTGAAAGTTTTTGATGTGTTATAAATAATTCTGTAAAAACTTGTGTGTTAATATTTTATATTTTTTTGTACGCAAGTTTTCACTATCCCATATGTCTGTCCACATGTATGTATTTCTGGGATTTATTTTTTGTGATCTTATATATTTATGATTTATAATGTCATTTTTTCATTTATTTTTTTTCACGCAAGCAACATTTTAAATTGAAGAAACACAAACACTCTTAAGAGGAAATGGCCCCCACTCGAAACTTTGTGGATATGATGTGTATCAAACTTTATTTCAGGAATACGAAAATTAAATAACATAAAAAACAAATATCAATAGGAGAAAATACTATGAAATATTTATAGACCAGAACACTTGCTGGAGGTCAATGCATTTATCTTACAGAAAAGTGGAAAACGTCATTCCAAGAATCAGTTTACCAATCAGCTATCTTTCATCCCTGTCGGACTCAGACAGTCGACAGACAAGCTCGACGCAAGAATGACGTTCCACTTGAGTGTATGTCTTGATTGACACTCAATGAATGTTAGTTTACGGTCATTCAGAGATCATGATTACATTGAGAGATTGTAATGGAGGCTAGTTGCTTCACTATTGCTACTCTTTCAACCATCCTTGGTGCACAACTAATTTTAACCTTATTAAAAATTAACAGTTTAGAATATCTCTGTAATTTTCGGTTAGGATTCAGCCCTAAAATTAGATTTGATTCCCAGGAGTTGATAGTATTGGAACAATCCACATTTCTGCAACGGTGTTAGAAAGAGAACATAATTAAAACTTTGTGTGATTAGGTTTCTCATAGAAATAACAATCATAGATTATTTACGATTTGCAAATCCCATCATACATTTAGCTACACTTTTTATCCAACCCAATTATTTTTATTTTTATTGCCAATTGTTAGTACTGCAGCAGTAGTATCTTTTTTATGTTCTCTAAGGTTGCTAAATGCACACAATTTGCAAAAACTAATTAATTAATATTTTAGTTTGTCCATGACAGAGTGTTATCATAACATTTCAAATCCAAGACTTTAACTGTTTCAAAGTACTATCAAGTATAGAGGATTAAGGTATAAATTGATAAAATTCCCCGTTTTGGTGGTGTAATGAACTATATCTATATGAATGTCAACCCAAACATAGTGATTTTAAATGCCATTATTTAATTTGTAATTTCCTATATTTTCAGACGCAGGCGCAGACGACAACAGTACTGACTCGGTGTACAACAGTCCGGCTCCATGCAGTTCAACCTCCATGCCAGGACAGGAAGACCAGCGACTGCGCCGGAGCTTCTACATCAGACTGCGCCAGCGAGCGCAGAGCCGCAGTGACCAGCCTCAGTACGAGCTGGTGCATGTCATGGGGCACTTGCGCGCGCCTCCACCCACACAGACACGTCGATCAGGTAGCTAACAATTGCATCTGGGGAACGTTGGATGGAAAGGTGTCCTTACTTAATTAATATTAATGTGATTGACCAAAGCCTCCATCATAGTGTGCTGCAGCAAACCAACTTTTCCATCAGGCAATACTGAAAAGAAAACTTAATGTATACTGTGGTATCTTTCAAGTCAAATAAACCGTGATGGTACTTAAAACTATGAGAGAAAATGAAAGTTTGACATTGGCAAACAGAATTGACAATGTCTGAGTCAACCAAGTTCTCTCGGAGTATAAAGCTGGCTAAAGCCGGTCCATATAAATAGAATGTGCACTTTTGTATACAAAGTTTATAAATAGATGCGTTACAACAACGACACGCCTTGACACATAGTTAGAAAGTTGTTGCAAATTTTAGAATAAAAATATAGTTGAATTAAGCCGTCAGCGTGTTATTGTCAATTACTAATTTCTTTTGTGCATAAACACTTTTCAACCAAGCCGAATTGGGAGGTCAACCTAATAATAAACCGTAATATTTTTGTATCATAAACTCTTTTTTAGAGTAGTTCAATGCTAGAGACTTATTCAACTATGTTCTATTAAAATACAAAAACTTTTACAACTGGTTTATGTATAGACGAGGAGTCTACTTCAGAATATAAAAATAAATTGCGGTTCCACATTATCACTGTTGTTTCTATCCAAGAGTTAACTTTACGTTTATATTATATATTTATACAACTTTGTACTATCCAACAAAGCTAATTTTCTCAAAGCACTTACACCATTAACTCAATGTTGTACAGTTGCAGTGTTTAATAGGGTTAAAACATCCATTTAGTAATCACTGACAATATTGACTAGTCTGACAAAAGGTTACTGATGCTCTTTACAACTTTTTAATTATTTGAGTAAAAAAGTTGACCGTAGGAACTTTGTCATTACGATGCTATTCTAGTGGACCTAAAAACCAATAGCCAATAAGTTATCTTGTGGCGGTGACAGTTTCATTTACCTGGCAACTATAATGTAATTTAAGATTTAAAATTACTTTCTAGTTTATTTAACTTGTAACACAATATTCTTTCCAACACCTTTGTTTAAAACTTGCTAACAAAGATTTTTTTTTTCATTTTGCGGCTGCATATTTTCATTGTATAATAATTCAATTGTTGTTATAATTATGTCATAGTCCAAAGATTCTGAAGTAAGTAGTTTGGTTAATTTTTCTTTTATTCTCAAAATGTTTTTTTCTGTTTGAATTGCTTGATGTTAAGCGTAAATATCATCATAATATGTATAATTTTTATGATGCAATTTTTAAAAATAAGTAAATAATCTTTAAGATTGGTTTAGATGGTCTGGTGGTTGGAGTGTGGGACTTCAGGTTCAAATCTCATCAACCACCAATGGTTTTTTAGCTGTGTTATAATTCCTTGATCCATTGATTTGAATTAAGCCACAGGTCCAATGATTTATAAAATACAGAAGGGTCAATCTCTCGGATGAGGAGAATTTTCACTGTTAAGAACTCTTTCCAACTGAAGTAGTTTTTCCTCTTTCACAACAAATTCTGTTCTTTAAGTAAAAAACTAAAGTATTCCAAATGTAAAAATGCCTTTTGTCACAGTTTCATTTTAAACTTCACAAAAGTACACCACAAAAACATTATTGAGAACAATGCTGAATAGAACACAATAAAACTAAATAATTAACTGAAGGTTGAAATTGCAACGGATACACATGGCGATGGCGGTCTAGACTCATGTCGCTAGGCAACCATCTGGCCAATCAAACGTTCCAGAAACTTGTTTAAAAAGGAAGCTTACACAATGCATTATTACACACCACAACCTGCTTTGCATTGATTGCTTGAGAAATTACAATTTAACTTGTTGCAAACTTCAATTTTCATTTAATTGGAGAAACTATTACTTTTTGTTTTGATCGTGCTTAGCAAAAAAGTATATTTATGCATAGCTTGGGCTCCTTCAGGTCATAAATCTTGTAGTCGAGGTGTAGGTTTGTAGGCTAATTGTTGACAGGTTTATTTACTGTGAGCAAATGTATTTTAGCAACTTGGGTATGCCTTGACTTGTGAATTCTGTTTTAAATTAGCATCGGTTTCTCTTTATCACTTATATTTTAAAGCTAACTTTAATAAGGCTAGAATTCCTTTGTAAAAATATAAATTTTCGTCGTCCACCAGCTAAAAATTGGTTATTTAAAACTACTCAATCAGTACATGAATCTATATGCTCTATCTTACTCATCATATGTAATGTTAAATAAATATACAGTTTTGGTTGTTTTGATATTCCCTCAAAACATGGAATAATATATCTTTCCTACCTTAATTTAATCAGGATGATTTTTATGATTGCTACTATTACCACTCTATATTATGTCGTTGACCTTGTGTCCTGTCTAGATGTCACAGCCAGTTTATATGTACTAATTGTCTATATGTCTATATTCTACTGTCTATGTACTAACTAGCAAGTTTTTGTTCCTACTGTTAGTTGATGGGGATATAAAAGATGCTACGGTTTTCAATTAGTTCTTTGAGTTGGTTACAGTTAAGAAGTTTGTGTGTGAGAGATAAAACGATAGTTTACAGCAGCACAGATCAGTAGCTCATTTTCCCATTTTTAAATTCCAAAACTGGTTAGAATTTTGAAATGAGAGTGAAATGTCTACTTCACAGTGACATTATTGTATCCGTTAGTTAGAGCTATTACATTAACAAATTAAGTTAAGAAAATTCCTAAACTTTTAATGTGTTGTCATGTTAGGCTGACTTCCTTCAGCTTTATGTTTATTTTTCTTCAAAGCAAAATTACATAAAACTTCTCATAAACTGTTGTAGAAGGGGTTCAAATTGAAAACTTCCTGACATTATTATTATTTAAAATTTAAAACTCACTAGTTCATTATCATTTTGTTTACCAAATTTCCTAAAAATGTTACAGACAGTCCGCCAAATCACAATGACATAATCTTGGTGGCTGTAGTGAAGCCATTCAGAGAGAAGAGAATCACGACTCTGTCTCTGATGGAGGCTTGTAGAGAAGAGTTCATCACCAGACACACTCTGGACGGCCGCATCATCTACACGGATCACCGGTAAATACTGTATTTATAATTAATTATTAATAAAGAAAGATTGTCAGAATCTGAGTGGAAAGACAGTATAAAAATGATTGCAAATGTGGTGCCAGTGCGTGTCCTTCACGGCAGAAGTCAGGGCAATAACCGCTGCAGGCATGCCTGTGGTGAGATTGAAACCCTTGTACATGCCCTTGGCTTCTGTCCGTTTGGTGAGCTTCTAAGAAACACAAGGCACCACAAAATAAGAAGTATTATAGCAAATGCCTTCGTAAAAAGGTATAATACATGGGAAGTGCATGAAGTACACTGTCTTTCTTCTAACGGAAGCACCAGAAGAGTAGATATTTTATTGATCGTAAGAGAAACAAACAAAGGGATAATTCTCGATCCAACAATTCGATTTGAAATAAACCTAAACCAGGCTAATGAAGTAAATGAGGAAAAAAAATTTACGAATCTACCTTTGAATATTTCAAGCAAAATTTCAAAAATGGAGTTCATTGGATTGTTTATTGGTTCTAGAGGAACATTATCAAATTTTTTGTGAACTTTTGGAAACAATTTGATTTGGACAGATCCTTTTTGAAAATTATTATCCATGAAACATTGAGAGGTTCATTGACTATAATGAGAAATCATTTATATGGCAAACATCAAAATTAATCAGTCTTATAGCTGTTATAATCCTTCAATATTTTGAGTGTATATTTTTTCAGAATCATTGGCAACCTTATTTTTTAAGGCAGATGTGTTTATTTCTATAAATAAATTCTTTTCTCTATGTAGCAATACCTGTCATCCATTCATCATTCATTTGGATTTCCCTATAATTGTGTGTGTTTCTCATATAATGTTTGTTACTACCCCATGATAATATGTTACCAGTAATTTAAAATGTTTCTCCCTTTTAATATTGTGTTACTTCATTATATATTGTTTAGTATCTAATAATATCCCATCACCCACCAGAAATAGCATCTCCCCTTTTGTTCTACAATATCATTATTTATGCATTTATATCAATTCTCACCATATTTATCCTCTGTTTGTCAATAATCTAGAATAATCACAACCTACTTAGATAGAATAATATATTATTGTAAGAAATATGCAATATAAAAATACCTCATATAGTCATATAACCTTAAAATTAGTCCAAAGAAAATCCAAATTACTGTGGCGAGTTGTAGCCTACTTCATGTGAATTCACCAGCTATACTATTCAACAATGGACATGTAAACTTCCAGACCTTCAGCCTTTGATTCTCCCCAGTCCCTGCCAGCTCTTCATTGTGATAACTTCATTTTATAGGGCATTATTCCTAATTCCAATGTTTGGCCTAAGAATTACATTGCTTAGACAGACAGACAGAAAATCTGTATTCAAAATCTTAGAGATTTGAAAGGCGTCAATACAATATTAATACAAATAGCTTATTCCCTATATGGGAAATTCGCTAAAAAAATGAGATGAATTGTCAAATACAATCAAAATTCTGCAAGTCCATAAATTCTTTCATGCTGTAGAATGGCATCTTGCAGAACCAACGGGTGAGTTCAGCTTTCAAGGTTTTAGGGTTGTCACCTTTCAGCTCTCCTGGCAGCATGTTGAAGAATCTTACCTATGCTGTACACTGCAACAATTTTACTTAACTAAATCTACAAGTTTTAAGCGCTGTTGCAAGCGCTCAGTTTTACAAATGCAATGCAACTCTATTTAATGACCAAGAAGTTTTATTAAAAATTACATCATGTAATGTAATATAACACCAAACCACGCAAACCAAGCGTAAGCGCCTAAGCGGCCCAAACTACGTTGCCAAAATCGGTAACTACCGTTATATTAGCGTTATATGGTCCCTCTTATACATGTATACTCAATGCTAGTACACACTAGTGCATAGTTTAATGTGAACCAGAATGGAAAAATAAATGAAAAAGAAACTGTGGAATCAGATTTATTAAATATTGTTTTACAATCTGAAACAGATTTGTTCATCCTGATAATTCAACCTGTTCATTGATAATTTTGATAGTTATCATCAATCAATTATCAATGAAGCAACATTTTAGTTAAACTATTTACTTGTTCACAGGATATCTATAGTGGCAGGTTATTTGTCTGAAGAAGTATGTGGAGTGCCAGGTTTTCAATACATGCACAAAGAAGACATGCGATGGACTATGGTGGGCCTACGCCAGAGTACGTATATATAACTTGGCAGTTACTTCCCTACTTAAACACATTCAACTTGCATTTGATAAACCAGAGTTTTCATATATTCTTTGGTATTGTGAATGGTAACAAAACTGATAAAAAAATACTACTCTTCATTCCTAATTCGAATCACCAAAATCTTTTCTGTAAGCTTTGTTTGATAAGCTGTGCTAACGATAACAATATTTCATCTTTTATATTTTCATTTGTAGTGACTGAAATCATTTTCATCGTATAATAGAACTGGCTGTGTGGAAAGCTTCCACAGTATAACAAAAATACATCTTAGTCTTACGGAAATTACAGTGTTGAAAATTACCAACGTTTCCGATAAGTTGGAGTAATTAATTTTTGGGGCTAACTACAATTCAAATTAATTGGAGCTTGCCCCAAATATGGATCTTCCTTGTATATTATTGAAAATAGGGGAAATAATTGTTTGGATTGCAGATAATTACAATAACAAAAACGCTTTGGCTACACAATCACTGAATCACTGATTGTTATTTTGTCTTGCAAATATTGTTAGACTAAGTCAAATTAACCTTAAATAATAGTATACATTAACAGTTTCAAAGATTTCCTTTTTTTCAATAGTGTAGAAGGTTTTTACAATTTTACTTTGGAATTTTTTCTAGAAAATATTTTAAGTTAGTTCTAAATATGGTAATTATTTTGCAGTGTTTTTCCGAGGCTCATCCTATGGCCAGAGTTGTTATCGACTTCAGACCAAAAATGGTAATTTCATTTACCTAAAGACTTGTGGATATTTGGAACTGTCGGAAAATAATGACAGCTTCCAGTCACTTATCTGTATCAACTCACTCGTCACGTAAGTATTGTTACTACAACCATTAAAATGTATGTCATTACATCATAAAATGACAGAACATTTGTCAATACAGTATTATAACACCTAAAACTAAATAGCAATATTTAAATCAAAACTAAATAATTTAAATATTAACCCTCCTAATTTTCACTTAAACATTCATTCAAGGAATGAAAACCAGTCATTAAAAAAATTTTTTTTTTGATTGGTGGTGTTTTTTAAATGATTCGGAACTAAGCTGAACAATTTTTGTCCAATATACACTATTGAGGTGATGCTTAAAGTACTGTATAGTGTAAATAGTGTAAATATATGGCTAGTGGGCTTAGTTAAGTTAAATGTCTAATGTACTCTCTCTGAAAATGTACCAGTTTTTTTAGAAGCAGTGTTTTGATATTTATTATTCTGGTCGTAAAATGCCAAAACCTGAAAATCCTGGAAGATAGTTTTACACGTACTTCTTTGTAGTATTTTTGGCTATAATTCTAACACATCAAAAAGGTCTAAACAATCTAAAAATCGAAACACTCATGTAAAAAAACTTAACTATCACATACATTACAACATTAGAACACTACAACTATAACTATAAGTCATGATACAAAATGAAAATGCAAAGTATAACCGATAAAAAAAAATCTATATGCAGGAAAAGAACAAATAAGATATAGGGTAAATAGCTCACAACACAACAATGAAACGCTAATCACACAGCTCGCAATGGCGCCACCAATGAGAATGAAGCCTCATGGTCGACCAATCCAGACACGGAGACAACCAAAAATTGCGTGATTCCTGGAAAATGAAAACCAACAAAATGGCGGTGCGATGTACAATGCCGCAAAAAAAGGGGATGTAAATTTTGTTTATTCCTATCACGAGCCTTACTACGAGTTAATTACGTGCAAATTTTGAGGAGAACTTATGATTTCCCTACTAATTGAAAAATTACGTTTCCTATCCTCTTAGTTCAATGTCAAGAGTGGGTAGCCCATAGTGGCCTGATTTCAACCCAAGATTGACTGTTAGGTTGGTCTGCAAACTTAATGTACACATTTAATGCGGGGATTTTTTGGGTTCAATGAGTTTACGTATTAAAAAGTGAGGTTCCTTATGGACAATTTTTGTCTCTTCAAAATTCATACAAGGATTTTGGACCAGCAATGATGAGGGATTAAAGATTTTTCCACTAGACCTTTTTTGGTCTTTTCTTTATGTTCTTTTATTCCAGTGTTCAATCAATGAATACAAACCTTGTAAGAAGCAAAATACCCATGTTAAAAATTCAGCCTGGGATTTTTTTATTTTGGCAAGTTATTACGATGGCCGCTAAGTAGGGAAGGCCCTACTATCGCTGGTGTGCGGCGGCGTCAATGGGACCCCACAGCAGTGTGGTGTATGTCCATGTTGTTTTGGTGGTGTGTTCCTTTAGCCTTAAAAAATGTTATTATGTATTTCTCCGATCAACATGCCTCCTATCCCTCCTCCGTATGGCAGCAGGGTGCGACTGGGCTTCAACGAAACTCGAGTGTTCCTCCTTAATATATATTCTTCTAGGTTTAAGCATTGTTAGGCGCCCACTAGTTACGGAGCAAATTTAAAAAATCTGTAAATTTAAAATTCCTATGTTATTCTTAAGGATAGTAAGAAAACTGTTATAGTTTGCTTGATTGATCTTTGAATAACTGGTGAATGGCCAAGCGACTGAAATGGTCGGTTACAAAATGTGTATTTTGCGTACATGATGAAACTTTTACTA